GGATAGTTAATATGATGTTATGATAATTCAAAAATAAATATCAAGGTTACCGAAAGTATAATAAATACTATATAATATTTTTTTGAGGTTGGAACTTAGATTTGAGAATTTTTTTAATTAAATTCTATACCTATATGATTGAGCTCATGTTAGATATGAGATATTGGAATTTTTTTCTAATTATTAGATATTTATTTGAATATAAATAAATATTTCTAAGGCCATAAAATAGTGATTTGAGGCCTGCGGGTAATTTTTAAATTTTTAATTTATTTTTAGACGAAAATTTGGAAAATAAATTGATAAAATTTTGATATTATAAATGATTTAAAACTTAGGTATAGTCTTTTGAGGTATGAGAAATTCAAAAAGTAATTTAGAAAATTAAAAGAGGCATTAATTTTGAATTAATATTAATATCTAAATTAATCCTAAATGTCTAACTATTTAAATTAGAATTATTTATTAATTTCAATAAAAAATTAGCATTTAGTATTATAAAATTAATATTATACATATATTATTAAATGGCTGTGTAGATTGTTTTGTCCAAGAGAGTGGTGAAAGAGTTGTGGTACAGGGAAATGTGTTGGGACACGATGTAACTATTATCAATGTGTGGTAGTATGTATGTGTGTAATTAATTGTGTGTTTATTATGTTATTTGAAAAATATTAATTTTGTTGAGAAATAATATATATGTATATTTTTGTTTGGAAATAATTGCCAAGTAGATTAAATTTATATTATGGGTATTTTGTGAATATTGGCACTGTTGAAAACATAAGATAAATTGTTTGATTGATATAAAAATGTGCTAAATGATTTTTGTTCGACTGTTACAAATGCACGACTAGTTGGAGTACATTGAAAATTGTTCGGTAGGAATTTTTATTTGGTTGAGTTACCACATACTAAGCCTTCATTAGAATCAATGTGTGGCTTGTAGCTTGGTCTAACTTACTTTTGGCTAGGTGACTTAGCATCCGAGCATGGCGTAAGGAGGGATACAAGGTGTAGTCATGCTAATTAAATAATTGTTTGGATTATTGTTTTATATGCCCACTTAACAATCACATGACTAATTGCCTCATGTACATTATTACATAGTAATAATTGATTACTGAGACTTTTAAGTCTCATTCCTTGTGGTTATTAATTTTTTTTAGGAGCGTGTTCGAAGAAGTACTGAGGCATAATTTGGTGTATGAGACACCATTTTTTATTTCAGCCTCTTTATTTTCATTAATGATGTATATTATGCCAACCTAGAATGGAGATATATATATATATATATATAAAGCATATAGATTTTATTTATTATTGTACTTTATGTGCCAAGAGAATTCTATCTTTCTCTTATGGCCCTGTGTATCTGTGAAGTAAAATTTCAATCAATTATGCCCTATGTGATAGTTTTTTGTGGTTACTAGTGTTTGAAAAAGTATAATTTGGGGCCTAAGTTAGATATCCATAGTAAAAGCATGGTTTGTTAAATGTTGCTCAATTGACCATGGTTTTGAAATTATAATAGGGATGTACACTTGAAGTATTTAATGATTGCTTTTCTTAATTACTATGGTAAAGTAAATTTATTATGTTTGAATTTTTCTACAATGATAGATTCTTTTTATCATGATAGATTATTTGTGAAATATTTTTATAATTATTTTTTTACCATGGTAGAGTTTAAAATTATTAAAATAATTTATCAAACTATTAATTTGTGAAAAATAAGTGTTAAAATTTAGGGTTTTACAGTTGAGAGGTGAAAATGTGATATATATGTGATTGATTTGTTGTGGTGCATCGCATAAGTCCTTTATAGTTCATTGAGTATGATCTAAGGGTTGGTGTGAACTTTGTCACTTGAATTGAATATTGGACACTTAAGTTTTGTGTTAATAGTAAAAATGGGTGAGTTTGGATATGGGTATCTAACTTTTGATTGGAAAATAATTTCAATATGAAACCAATACCACTCGCTAAAGCTCAAAGAAAACTTTTTATAAACACCTAGATCACCTCAATTGAACGTTAAATGGAAAAATGAGACACATCAAAAATTCTCCCTAAGAGTTGTCATTTAATAGCAAAATTGTTACCATAATCAAGCAATGTACTATGGCACATGGCACAAAGGCAAATATGCTATAGTGTGTTTGCAATAAGCCACAACGCACCTTTATCTTTTGTGCTAAAATGATGTTTTTCAATCTTAATGCAAATGCTTTAATACAATTCAAATTCCCGTGCTTCTATAAACTTGTTTGACTCTAATTTTTTGCTATGATTTGATATTATGATAATTTGAAAGCTTTTAAAAACTTGGGATCTCTTATATGTTAATTTACAAATTTGGTTCTTAAGTTATTCCTATGATTATCTTGGATTTTGAAGATTAACTATGGATTAGTAAGGAAAATCCTACACTTCAAGTCACTATAATTGAAATATTCATAATCAATGAATGAAAACCCAGATCGAGACAGGACCAGTTAGTTCAACCAATAATTTGATGAACCAATTAGTTGGTTGGTTTGATTTATGATCTAACTTGAGGTAGTGTCAACTTGGACTAACCCAGTCGACCCATGGGTGACTTGATCAACCTTGTCCATTTATTTGAAAAAAATTATTTTTTTAATTTTATTGGTATTTTACTGAGTTTGCTAAATTTTTATTGGGATTGTGCTGCAAATATAAGATTTTTCTCTGTTTATTAAATTTTTGTTGGATTATTTGAGCAAAACTAATGATTTTTATTTAAATATTCATTTTTTCATATTCAAATATGAATATTTTTATGTATATAAATTAAATTAAATTATATTATTTTAATTAAAAGCAATTTAACTTCGAGCTAACCCCCATTTAAACCACCAACTCTTGACCCATTATTTTGACTGGTTCAATAATTGATTCAATTTTCAATACTTTGTTCATAATAACACGTTTTGTTTGGAAAGTTCCTCATCCTTACAAATTGCAAAGCACATGGAATAACACTAGTTTAAATCTCGAAGGTTGGAAAAATTTTATGGCTAAAAAAAATATTATAGGTTGAGTTTAGTGAAAGAAACTCATAACATAATAAATTAAAGTTTGAATTCTCATAAGAAAAATATTCATGTTTATTAGAACCACTTTTACAAGGTTGCTTCTAATATAAATATATCTGTATACAGCTAACTTTAGAGAGGATTCAAATCTCAACCCTTATATATGTAATAATTTAGTTAGAAAAGATCTACTATTTATCATTTATATTTTGAGAAGATAATTTTCATTGTCAGGACATTCCTCATGTTATAAAAAGAATATTTGCACACACTAAAAATTATTGACATTTTTTAATTTCAATAATTACATTCACCACCCTATCACCAAAGCAAAGTGTTGTGTCAGTATGTGTGTGTGTGTGTGTGTTTTTTTTTTTTTAGGTTTTTTATTTTCCCGGGAGGGTTGGGGGGGTCAATTTGGATTAGGGAGGATAGCGCCGGAATCACTTTCCCTGAAAGTCAAGAGACAGCATGAGGAAGAAATAACTGTAAAATAACTTTTTTTAAAAAAAAAGAAATGGATTGAAATTAGACCAAATAAAAAAATATATAATTGGGATCACTTTTGGTTGCAGTAAAATAGAAATGGCGGGCAAATTGTAAAAAAAAAAAAACAAACAAACAAAGATAAAAATTAAATAGGAAATAATAATAAAAACAGTAGACAGGGGTTGGCAGATTTTGGTTCAGGATTTGGAAATTTCACAACTCACGGGCAACAGTCCCCCGACACACTCAAGTAACAGAGCCACGTACTGCCAAAATCCTAAATCAAAGACTGGCAGCACTGTTCAGATCGGTTTTGTTTGCCCTCATGCCCAATTCTTCCTATTTCTTGTCAAATCATAATTCAAAGCAGGCTAATTATTTAATAAGTAATATCTATCACTTTCTTTCGTATAATCATTATTTTAAAAAAAAATACCTATGTCATTCTAAAATTAGTTGTTATTTTTAGATAATAAAACTTTTACTCCACAAGTTTTTTTTTTTTCAATTGTTGATTTGGTAGTATTTGTATTTTGACTCCATACAAATCAATCATTATAATTTTTTGAATTAAATAATTACAAAGGGAAGTGAACCCTAGGTTGTATCTAATCAAAAAAATTATTTTAACAATTTATTATTTTAAAATATGATTTGAACTTTGAATTTGATATACCAAATAAAAAAAACTACTTAACAGTACTTGCTTCAGGTCAAATCAAATGTGTATTTTTTAAAAAAAATAAAAAAATGAAACAAAGAATATCTAATATTAAGTAATATCTCGCATAATTTTTAATAATGAAAATAATTTAAAAATATGTAAATAAAGATAAATTAAAAAAGCGCATGTTGGGGACGAGAACGTATATACATATACACATATACGTATACATAAATACTTACAAGGCGGAATTAATGTTTAGTTTTATGTCATATCTGGGGGATTCAGTCTGAGCTTGAGGGACTCGGTGTTATCAAGGGAAAACCGAGGCAAGTTACGTTATTTTTTGTGTGTGGACGGCCTTGGCTAGCCAAGCCAACAACAGATGCCGATCAATCAAACCACTTCTTCCACATTATGGTCCAAATCGGTACCATTGCTTTTGTCGTATATATTCAAAAGAAGCGAAAAAAAAAAAAGGGCATGCCACGCCATTATTTTTAGTCTCTGCTTTTTCAAACTCTGCCTGCCACATTGACAATGAAAGGCCATGAGCCAAGGAAACACACTACATCCCTTTCTTCTGCTTTCTCTTCTTTTCATGTCCTTCTCTCTCTGCCAAAGTTTAAACAAAGAAACAAAGCAAGAAAAACCCGTTTGAATGACAGACATATAGACCAAGGGGTCCTCTGCCTCCAACTTTTCTTTCTTGCTGTTCGGACCAACAATGTCTTTTTTTGATTCCTAACCACACCGCCAAATAAAAATCCCAACCAAAAAATGAGTTCTCATTTCTCAGTTCCATTATCCATCATCTTTGACTGTACAATTTGAATCCCCTCTCCTCCATGCCTAAACCGGTAAATAAACACTACTACACCCTTCTCCGCATGGCACAATCTTCCACCAGGAAAAAAAAAACAATAGGACAAAAAATATACATATGCTTCACGGCTTCACCACATGTCCTGGGATGTACAAGCTAAGTTGTCAATCTCTCTCCCCAAATAAAAAAAACAAAATGATATCCATGCCTCCTTTTTTTTCCCTTCCCTCCCCCACTCTTTTTTTTCTTCTTTTTTAATAGTGAAAGAACAGATACATATTACTTTAATGTGTTTGAAAATAGGTTAAAAGAAGATGATGAAACAACCGAATTGATAGAGCTTGGGACACTCCTCCCCTACCCAATTTCTTTCTGTAACGGCTATGAGAAAAATGTAGCCATCAACAAAAACCTCCAAGTTGTGTTTGTTTCGCAGCATTCACTGATATACATGCCCTGTAGGGTCATCTGAGAATAGGAGTGTTGTCACCTTAAGCTTGCTCAAAATTAGTCATGGTTCAATTCCAGAAGTTGTCACTTTCTTTCCCTGCGTGTCATCTATCCTCTACAAAGATTCTGTGTATGAAAAACCTAAATCTTTTTGAATATAGCTTGGGTTCAACGGCTGAGATGGAGGTGGGATCCACTTGCAGGGACTTGTATGCATGTTCTAGCTTTTTTGTAATATCATAGTCTTGGAGAATGTCAATGATACCAAAGAAGAGGATGACGTCTAATATCTCACCACCGTCATCACCACCATCAGAAGGGGGTGAATTGCTACTTCCACCACCCTTTTGCTCCAATCCTACCCTACCCACTCTCTCAGCCCTGGCCGGCGTGTTTGTTCCTAACCGGATTAGAGGCTCCCTGGTATATAAATAAAAAACGATTATGCTTAAAATCAGAAACCAGCAAGAGAATATCGATTAAACTCAGCTAAAAATTCAAGTTACTACAAACCTAGCTGTTCCATACAAATATTCACGGAGATAACTTTTTTAATAAGGCAAGCTGAGTAACATCTACTTGCTATATGTTTATAGGAGAATCTACTGACAAAATATTTGCATAATCAAGATACAAATCACCTTTAAAAAACAAGGGAGAAAAGGAAGTATCGTGTCTAACATAGCAAAATATCTATTTATGATTCGAGACCCGGCATCTATAACTGATTCATTTACCTACCGTTTGGCTAACAACGAAAGCTTTGCACATATGAAGATCACAAAGACCCCACCAACCATTATTGTCAACAAAACTGACTTCTGTTTTGCCTAGACATCACATGTCATCTTCAGCACATATCAAGCAACAGAACAAATTCATAGAAAGATCACTCAATAGCCCACTCCCAAATCATATTAAAAACGGCAGTAAAATATAGTGCTCATTCATAGACTTTTGTTTGTTTTTCAGTTGTGGCCATTCCCCATTAGCGATTATTTGCATGCGAATGTGCCATTTTGATATTTTAAGATAAAAGTATTCTACTTGTGTTTGTTGAAAACCTGGGTCTTTGTGCACTAAAGCTTAAGCACGTGGCACATGCCAGGAAGTGAAAGGAATTGCCATCAATGGGACCCAAACATGAGATTGTTGACTTGCTTTCCACAAAAAGAAATCATAGGTTGTAATTTTTATACAAACCAAAATTTTACAATGTTTAGCATATAATTGCATAAAATTTTGTGAATCCCACAAACATTTGCTTTTGAAATATACAAGCTAAAAAAAATATTTTTTTCGAATAAAGAGGCAAGCCTGGGGCTTGAGACAAGCTAAAAAAAGATGCAAGGAGAATAACGCTAAAACTTTAAACGGTTCATTTGATAAAGACAACTAGTTACAGGTAAAAAGAAAGAGACATACCGGCTACTAGGTATCCACCTCATATCCTGCATCTCATCGCCAAGAAAATTTCTCTTTCCTGATGCAGCCATAAGCCAGCATATTTTATGTTTCCGGGTAGTTCAATCAAACCCAACATAGAGCATAAGACAAAACTATAAAGCAAGATAAATGAAATATATACCTGAACGCAAATCATATGGTGAACTTTTCTTTTCATCATCTGAGTAATCATCACGAAAATGAAGACCAATCAGAAGACTGTAATCCATGATTCCCTCTGACTCCAAGAATTCACAGTCCCTATCCAGTTGCCTGTGTAGAGTAGAAACCATTAAATGAGACCACTATGAAGTACGGAAGGAAAAATGTAAAGTAGTATGCATCATAGAAACTATACCATTTAAACTTCTGAAACCAAGAATGTTCCAGGCGAAAGACAAAATTAAGATCAAGGTCTTTGAGGGTGGTGGTCTCATCAATTTCTTCCTGGGGCTTATCTGTTGTGCGACCATGAGAAGAACCTTTGAGGTCGAACCTCTTATGGATCCGGTACTCAGAACAGAACACATTGCCCATTACAATAAACCTGGTCTGGTTTTTCAAAGAATTTCTTAATTTCTTTACTTAAATTGCGGCAAACAATTTGGAAAATCAATCACTTCACAGCAAAATTTTCGTCATAAATCATACCTTCTGACCCCCAATAGGCTTGACACAATGAACGCCGAGGAATTTCGTAACAAGGGAGTTCTTGTACTGACAAACATGGTTGTAGTAACTTGGAAGCATCCTGATGAGCACCTGACAAGGCCACTAGTGATTATGGAATGCCCAAAGAATAGTAACCATAGCTCATTCTGAAAGCGAGATCTTACCTCACCAGAGATGCCTATAATTTTCTTTACAAAATTAATGCATTTTCCAAGTATGCCTATGATATTCTTTACAAAATTAACGCATTCCAAGTCTATAGGTTTGCAACTAACCTTGACTTCCGACTTCTTCACGGTTTTAATAATGAATCTGTCATCTTGAGTAAGGTAAAAGAAGCTTCCACTTTTCCCAGGAGATGACATCTCTCTGAGTGAATCATTTCCGCAAATAGCCAGCATATAATCCGCCGGATCTATTGCAAATAAATCCCTTAAATGTCTAAATACCCAACCAAGAAGGAACCACGGAGAAATATGCATAATTAGTTGATAGTCAAATTTTCCATACATGGAAATAAAAAAGAACTAATCATTCAAATTTATCTTCACCTGAAGACAATTGGACAGTAGTCTTTCCACCTGAAGTCCACTGACTGATGCGGAGGCGTAAACTTAGATCCTTCTGGTGGAAACCTTGTCCAGAACTTCTCCTTTGGATCAAAATCTCCCTGCCTGAGTTCTCGCATAACGGAAGCATGCTTCCCAACAGAGTACCTGAATTTTACAACAATTCTGTAACAATTTGAATTTCTCGACGGATTATAACAAGTCAGATAGGCTAACGGAAAATACCTGATACCCAGTTGAAGATTGAGCATCAGATCGTAATTCTTATGCCCCTTCGATACAGTTTGACCTGGTCTCTTGAAATCGCCATCGACTGACCGACATGGACTCTTCTGGAACTCGCCGGCAGTTGCTTCTTCTCCGTGAACAGATTCGCTAACGTCGCTGTATAACTCAGATGGCTCAACGATATCGCAAGTAATATCTCCAGCTTCTCCATCAAGTTCCCAGATGCAAATCCGCGGGAAATTGACATTCTTCGATCCGTCCACCGACGACCTCTTGCTCGCCATCATCATCTGAGCATTCTTCTCCCAATTCCAAGCAGAGCTGCTTCCGTCTGCCCAAGTGAACACTCCCTGCCCCTTCGGAACACCGTTCTCCCAAGAACCCTCATATCGATTTCCATTTGTCCAATTCAAAACTCCTTTCCCTGAGATCGCACCACTCTTCCACTCACCCACGTACTCATTCCCATTCTTCCACACGTACCTACCTTCCCCATCTTGCAAATTGTTCCTCCACGATCCTTCGTACACATCCCCATTCGCGTAGCACTTCTCACCAAGCCCATGTTTCCGATCAGCGACCCACGTCCCACGGTACATCTCGCCCTCAGTACCAATGAATGTGCCGTGCCCATCTATTCGACCCGCCTTGAATTCACCCTCATAGGTAGCCCCAGATGGCCAGGAGAACTTGCCTCTTCCACAGGCTTTACCTCTCTTCCATTCACCTTCATACATGCAGCCATCCGCCCACAGATATTTACCTGTGCCGTGCGGCACATTCCGCAGTAAAGTGCCAGTATAAAGATCTCCGTTCAGGACGGCTTTCTCTACGGTGCGGGTGGTGACATTATTGGGGGCGGAGGCAGAGACGGTAGGTGTCACGCGCCGCAACCCAGCTTGGGTCCGAGGCCGACCGAGCACTAGACAGGGAGGTGGGACCACTAGCTCAATTTCTTGCTCTTTTAGTTCAGATTTTTTCTTATTCACTTCGTTGGCAGCAGGTGTGCTTGGATGATTGATGCCTTCTTCAGAGGGAATGAGGATCGTCTGTTGCATATTTTTCTCGGTGAGTTTGTGGGCGAATCACAACCGACGGACATTCGCCGGATAATGAAGCGCCGGCAAAAGAGAGAGAGAGAGAGACACACACACACAGGGGGGGGGAGAGTGAGACGGAAAAAGAGGTTAAGAAAATGAGAGAGAGGGTGTGGGGTGGAGGCGGGTGGTTGGTGGCGGTGGCGACCACATTGTGGAGGTGGCGTTTGCGCTGCTAGCCTGTGAGAACAAGAGGTAGCCAGAAAGAGCAGACTCGTTTTTGTTGAGCTGGTTCGCTACTCCTTGACTTTAATGGGCGGCATGACCTACGTCGGCCTCTCTCCTCCGGGCGTCTCGTAGATTTTAGCTTTGTGCGCTAATGCCTCTTCCTTTCATGACACAAAAGGGGCTTGGTTTGGATACCCCGCCCTCGTTAATTCACACATTCATAATTCACAATTAGCGACTGGTTATTCACAACCAAAATATATTTTTTTAAAAAAAAAAATATTTTGTGTTTTTAATTATACTTTTTGCCGTAAAAAACTATAAGCAGTTTTCAATAATAATTGATATACCAATAAAATTATTATTAATGATATATATTTGCCCTTAATCCTAATTTATGATAAGTGAGAAAAAGATAATAAATTCACACTAAACACAAGAATTTAGGTTAATAAACATGAGTGAAATGGGGAAAAAAATCTATAAATATCAAACTACTTATATTTTAAATTAAGATTAATTGAGAAAAAAATGGCTTAAGTTTTGAAACGAAAAGTGTGAGACAATTAATTATTAATACTTACCAAATTTGAACTCTCCAGGTACTAGTCTCAGGTTGCTAGTTGTCTTTGTAAAATAATATATATATATATATATATATGATTAACTATTAACATAACGTAATATTTTGGCCAAAATCATAATTAATTATAATTACAATTGATTTATGGCATCACGGTAACTATTTTGGACTTCCTTTCTAAACTAATAGTTTCACATATGTGAATAATTTATTCAGAACTTGAATTTTGAATTAATTATATCTCTCACGCGACGCAGGTGGAAACAACAAATACATGTCCATGTCGAAGTTGGCAATAATAAGGAATTGAGTGAACATTTTGTAGCTGTTCAGGATTTGGTTTAAACCACCAGAGTAACTGAAAAAGGTGTATAGTGCGCTAATAATGAGAACTACAAATTTAAAGGGTGTAGTTGTAATTAAGGCACAAAAGGCGTTACGAAATGCTGGCAGTGAGAGAGGTGGTTGTCACGTAGGAGAGAGATGCGGCAATGTTGATGCGCGTGAGAGGGATGATTCTGAAACTGAATCTCAAGAATGAATGTGAGTGGAACAATAGTGAATGAAATGCAAGGCCTCGCATGGCTGTCTGTATTGTAGAGCCGTGTACTCATGTACTAATTAATAACATAAATAAGCACTGTACTATAGTAACATAAAGTAAGGTGTGCTATTGGATTTGCGCGCCGAAACATAGCGGCTAGACATACTGGTCAACAACATGTGGCCAACTAAATTCCATGCAAGCCAAAAAAAAAAAAAAGTTCATGTCGTTTGTGTTAATTAATTGTCTTTTCTTTCTTCTCATAGCAGTGTAGGGTGGTTCTGCCCAGAAAAACAAATGGTAATGCAGGGTGGTGTAGGCAACTAGGCATGCAGAGTTCCAAATTGTATTGTTGTTGGATTATTTTAAAACGGTTTTAGTTTATTTATAATTATAATTAAAGTGCTAAATTATTTAAATTAAATGGACAACGGAATCTTATTTAAAATAATTTTTGTCTTCACTAAAGATTAGAAAACCCGAGCTTGAATTTGCTCCATTATACATGTCCAATTACTCATGCTTTAATCAAAATTATGAATAATTTAGTTTAATCAAAATTATGAATAATTTAGTATTCATGAGTCAAATGCATCTTTCCAACTTCATACAAAGTTGAGTGCGCAATTCGGAACTGAGTATAAAAATTTATACCTTCTTATAAAAATGTTTTGTATATTTTGGGCAAAAGAGAGTAAAATAAAAAAGTAAGATAATCAAAATTCATGAAATGAAATAAGAGCGAATGAAAATTAAATGCTTCTTCACGGGGGATCCCAAATGCTATACACTACTTTTCCAATTTTTTTTATAAATTATTTTTACTAACGTTATCATTATTAATATAAAAAAGTATAAAAAATAAAAATATATAAAATTTTAAATATGTCTCTATATAATAAATTTAAAAAATAATATTATATTTTTTTATAAAGGATAATTTTAAAAATACATTTAAATATTATATAAAAATCACACCATTAACTTATAAATAAGATTAAATAAATTTTTTAAAATATGTATTATAAATGAGATTAAAAAGAATACAGTGAATGACAATTATTTATGTGTTCGGTTACCAGCCAACCTAGGAATTGTAATTATATAAATAAAATAATTCATTTACATTTTTTTTATGAGGACAATTGTATATTCAGGAATTATCGTTGCGAAGGCGGGACAGATAGAAACATTCAATCAATAGAACAATAAAAATAATTAATTTACATAATTATATATCATAAGACTTTTGAGAGTTGTTGAATACTCCCTCCATTTAAAAATATAAAATATTTTTTAAAAAATTAAATGTTTAAAAATATAATGTATTTTTAATCTTTTAAGATATAACTATTATCTTTTTTTTAAAAGTGCCCCTATTAATAATGACTTTATATTTATTATAAAATATTTAATATAAGTAAATATGAAAAAATAAGATTAGTTGAAAAGTAAAATTCGATTAAAAATATCCTACATTTTTTAACGGAGAGAGAAAGTACTTTTTTTTTTTTTGACGAGCTATTGAATGCCAGACATAGAATAAATCATTAAAAAATCATTCATTTAGGGAGTAAGGAAATATAATGTAACATCCTGATTTTTTTTAAATATTTTTTAAATTATTTAAAAATGTAATGTATTTTTAATCTTATTATGTAACTATTATCTTCTTTTTAAAAGTGCCCCTATTAATAATGACTTTATATTTATTATAAAATATTTAATATAAGTAAATATGAAAAAATAAGATTAGTTGAAAAGTAAAATTCGATTAAAAATATCCTACATTTTTTAACGGAGAAAGTACTTTTTTTTTTGACGAGCTATTGAATGCCAGACATAGAATAAATCATTAAAAAATCATTCATTTAGGGAGTAAGGAAATATATAATGTAACATCCTGATTTTTTTTAAATAAAAAAAATATTGTTGTGAAATTTAAATTTTTATTAAAAATATGATGATAATAATAGAAATTTATATTATTTGAGATTATTTAAAAATAATAATATGGTTAGAAATTTAATTATGAATTTAAAACTTAAGTTTAAAAATTATATAAGAAATATTTTATTAAAATATAATTTTAAGATTTAGAATAATAAAAAAAATATGTGTGTGTGTGAGAGTAAAAAAAAAGAAAGAAAATAAAAAAAGACGTACTGTAGAAGTCCCACATCGTTTAGATGTGGGAAGGTGAAACGCCTCCTCACATATAAAAGGAGGAGGCGCATGCGTAAGGAGCAAAAGCAGAAGCAAAATAAAAAAGTTTGTAATTTATGAAAATTGCAGCTAAGAATCCAAGATGCAATTTAAAGAAAATTATAAATAACGGCCCAAAGGTTTAAAAAATTAAATTTAGACCTATAGTTTTTTTAATAATATAATTTTGAGACCCACAATCCCATTTTTATATTATTTTTCTCTCTTCCTTTCACGTTACTCGGCGTTTTCTCACAAGGGGACATTATTTTCTTTTTCTTCAGTATGTTATAACTTTCCTATTTAGATTAGCATTTAAAAATTTATTTAATTACAAAATTAATTTTATAGTTATTTTCTAAATAATATTAGCTTTCTAGTGATATGATTATTTTGTACGATAGAGCAAATATTCTGATTAGGATTTTTCTATAGGATAGTTAATCTAATGATATGATGGATTAAAATATAGATTAAGGCTCTTAGGAATATAATAAATATCATAGAATATTTTTCTTGAGGTTGAAACTCATGTTTAAGAATTTTTGAGTTAAAATCTAGATCTATATTGTTGAAATTATATTGAATCTGAGATGTAGGGATGAACCTCTAATTATTAAATAGTTATTTAAGTATGAATAGATATTTTTGAGGTTATAGAAAGGTGATTTGAGGTTTCAAGATAATTCTAAAATTTTTAATTTATTTTTGAACGAATTTTTAGAATATAAATGGATGAAATTATGATACTAGAAATGATTTGAGGCTTAAAAATAGTTTATTAGGGTACGAGAATTTTAGAGAAGAATTTGAAAAGTTAAATGAGGCATAAATCTTAAATTAGTGTTAATATGAATTTTAAATCTAAGACTTTTTAACTCTTTAATTTAGAGTTATTTATTAATTTCAATGAAAAATTAATATATAGTGTTGTGAAATAATTATGTAGACTATACTGACAAAGATAGTGGTGAAAGAGGAGTTGTGAAGGGGAACTTGTTATTCAAGACACAAGGTAACCATTATTAATGTGTTGTGATGGGTGTGTTTGTGAATGGTTATGTGTTGTTTTATTATTTGAAAAAATTATGAATTATTGAAAATAAATACTGTATATACTTGTTTGAAATTATTGTCAAGTGGGTTAAAAATTTATTTTTGTTTATCATGATGAGATATTATTGTTCGGATATATTTCTGTTTGGATATTTGAATGATGCATGACTTGTCAGGGTATTTTAATGTATGGTGTTAATAAGAATTTTTGTTCGGTTAATTATTACCACATGGTAAGCCCTCATTGGATCCAATGAGTGGCGTGTCACTTGGTTCAACTCACCTTTGGTCGGGTGATTTGGCGTCCGAGCATGGCGAAAGGAGGATATAAAGTGCAGTCATCCAAATTAAATACTTATTCAATTTGTTTGAAAATATTGTTCGGTTAAATGTTTTGTGTGCTCACTTAGCAATCGCATGATTAATTACATCCGCATGCATCATTACATATTAATTTTTGGTTATTGGGACTTTTAAGTCTCATTCCCCGTGGTTAATATTTTTACAGGAGAGAGTCCGGCCGAAAAAACACCAGAGGTGTAACTATGGTGTATGAGATACTATCTTTTACGTTGCCTCTTATTTTGAATTATACAATGTATCTTGTGCCAACTTAGGACATATCTTCTTTGAGAAGCATGTAAACTTTAATCCTTTTTATTAAAAGTATTTATATGATCAAGAGGATTCTGTCTGTCTCTCTTGATTTATGATCCAATTTAAATATCATGTCATGAGGATTATGTCTGTCCCTCATGATTTTAATTATTTTTTGAAATATTTTAAGACCTGTGGTATGTCTTGAATGTATCATGGTA